CATATTTTTTACTAGCTTAATGTCTTAGGTAGTTAGAGTTACTATTGCTGTGATGAAACACCATGACCAAAGCACCTTGGAGAGAAAAGGATTTATTTGACTTATGCTTCATCAACACTGTTCTTCATCAAAGGAAATCAAGACAGGAACTCAAACAGGGCAGGAACCTGGAGGCAGGAGCTGATGTAGAGGCTATGGAGGGGTGCTACTTACTGACTTGCTCTACATGACTTTCTCATACTGCTTTCTTATATAACTCAGGACCATCATCCCAGGCAGGGATGCCACCACCCACAATGGGCTGGGCCCTCAATCACTAATAAGAAAATGCCCTACAGACTTGCATACAGCCCCATCTTAAGGAGACATTTACTTAATGAGATTCCTTCCTCTCTAAATTCGCTAAAGATGGCTTTAGCTTGCATAAAGTAGACATAAATCCATCTAGAACACTTATAAAGTAGTGTGTTTCTATACAAATAATTCATACATTATTAGTTTGTGTTAACCAATCCTCACCCATTCCTCTCTCCTGACACACAATCTCTATCTTCACTTACAATGTGAACCCCACTTTCATATCACATGTGTTCTACTCTGTTTGCACTCCATAAGACCTCTTACCCCAGCCCTCCCTTGGGCTCATTATAGTTTCCTGAACACTAGAGACACTCCAAATAAATCTCACATGGACCCACCTCTAGATGAAAAGGTACAAGCAATTAGTGGCTGCTGAGAGAGGGAGAATCAGAATTCTCCAGAGATGAGCCCCTTGTAGGTTATCTAGTCCCAAGTGGTCAGCATTAAGTACATAATAGCAACACTAAATAGACTTGGCAGAATGTGTGTATGTATGTATGTATGTATGTATGTATGTATGTATGTACCTATGTATGTATTATGTATTATGTAAAAATCAACAAAGAATAAAAGGTGAACTTAGTGGGAAAGAAGGGACACAGTAGAAATTAGAGGATGTGGAGAAGTTAGAGAATGGGGGAAATGATGTAAATATAGTATGCATGTAGGAAATTCTCCAAAATTAACCTAAGAGAAACTTAAAAAACAAATTATACATATAAATCTAAATATATCAAGCTAGGATTCACAAATGACAGAGAAAATGTACATTTGTCTCCCTATGGATGACTTATCTCACTTAGAAAGATATATCCTATTTCCATCCATTTTCTAATGGATGAGTTTTTTAATTGGCCTTTTCATTTATGTATGTACTATGGATACATATGTGTATGTGTATTTGCATATGTTGGGCATACATATATTTGGAATTGCACTGTGTGTGTAGGTGGACACCCTAAATTGATGTTAAGAATCTTCTTCAGTTGCTCTCCCTTTATTCATTGAGACAGAATCTCCCATCATATATATCCAGAGCTTATCAATGGAACAAGTCCCTAAATCTTGCTCTAGGGATCCCCTGTCTCAGCTTACTGGCCTGAAGTAACAGAGGACCACAGTGTAAACACAGCATGTGCATGGGGCCCTGGGATCCAAATTCTAGTCCACATGCTCCTGCTGATAGCTCTTTAACTTCTGAGCCATCTTGCTGCCCCAGTGGCATTTGGGGTGTGACAGAACTGAAGAGGATTTAGATGTGTAGGTGGTAATAGACACATTCAAGGTGGAAGATCCTGGAGAGCATAGCCTAGGAAGAACTGAGTCCTCCCTTTGCACCTGGGCCAGACATGGCCCGAGTGAAGCAGACTTTGGTCATAGATATGAGTGGCCAGTGTGCTGTACTCAGATGTTAGAAGTCTTCCTACAAAGACAATAAGAGCTGGTCTATAGATCCTGATTTCAGAGGCAAGTTGGCCCCTGAAACCAGTCTCTCAAGGGACAATTCTAACCAAACTTTCATCACACCTTAGCCAAGGCAGTACTGGCAGCTGCCTTGTCCTTTGGGAAACCGGCAGATGATGAGCAATGAACTTGGATTTTGGTCCATGGAGCATCCTCCTATATGCTTTATCTTGAGTTAGTTCCAAAGAAGATGCTGAGATGAGATTTGTGGTCATGACAAAAACTAGAGAGAGGACTTCTCAAATGCACTGGTTGGAGAAGGGGGTGTAGGGCAGGAGGAAGGAAGCCAGCGAAGTGTGCTCTGTGAACGGTGGGGCAGGTTACATCAAGAGCAAGTGTGTTAGTTGTCCATTGCCAGGACAGGAAACAGAGAGTGGGTAACTTTTGTTGTTGTTGCTTGTTTATTTGATTGACTGACTGGCTGACTGACTGACTGATTTTAATACCCCAGAATGATTCCAAATTCATCATATGGAAAAGTTGGCCCTGAGCTCCTGGTTCTCCTGCCTCTATCTTCTGAGTGATGAATTACAGGACTATACAACCATACTTAGTGGTTATAGTTTTTTGTTTGTTTATTTGTTTGTTTAGAATATGTATATTTAATTATAGTTCTGGAATCTGGAAGTCCAAGTAGAGATTACAACCACTCAACTTAAGAAGAAAAGTATACAGGCAAGAAGGTGCCTACAAGAAAGAAGGGGAACCCCTTCCCACTATAGCTTGTTCATTCCTAGAAGAAAAGTATGAACAATTAAGGGGCCTGCTCCCATGACTCCACACACTCACACTAGACCCTTGTCCCTATACTTCTACACTGGCAACTGAGTTTCAGTGAGAAGAAAAGACATTCAAACAGTACCCACAAATAAGGCTTATTGTCACCAAACATACTGGAAGAAACTACAAAATACATGTGGGATTGCCAGGGCCATGGACAGGGGATCAAGCCTTATGATCTGAAACATAAACACTACAGCATTCCTAGACCATCACATCAGACACATGCTGGTAGCAATAGTTTTATTAGAAGTGCAGCAGGTGGCAACTGAAGTTCAGGTGTCAGTCTACCAGAAGAATATCTCTCTGATGGATATGTCTCATTCAAGCAAGGCTTAAGAGAATACAGACTCCAGAATGTATTTTGCTTCTGTTTTCTCCCTGCATGCTGCTACTACTATGTATATGGCATGGAAATTCCCCCACTGCCTGTGTATTTATCTCATGAATATATTCCATTTACTGGGCATATGTATATCTGTAGATGGTCAAGAAGATGATTTCTTCTTAATCTGTATAATTTTGTTGAATAAAAATAATAATAGGATATTTTTCATAGCTAGGCATGTTGTTACATACGAGGCCTGTGAGTCATATCTAAAAGCTGTTTTATATCAGAGCTCAGGCATATATAAATTAGTTATATCTCCCCAGCACTAAGACATCTGATTTAAGGCTTCAAAGTAACTTTAGGTTAATACCAGATGTCTTTATAATGGATTTAAAAATATACATTCTCAGAAATAGAAATCTAGATCACAAGGACATACTAAGCTGCCTGGCCAGGTTGTAAACACAAAGACAGCACAGTTATTGCTAGCTGGCAAATGGTTAAATTCTTACAACCATTCCTGTCCTCAAATTGTAAAAATGTGTTCTGACTAGTAAAAGCTACGGAAAATAACTTGACTCTGAACCCACTAATGAGGGCTGTAAGTGTTCTTAGACAATTAGAAGTTACACACAGGATAGGAAAATATATTTCAAGATTTACAAACCTTTTGTCATTACTGTGCCTTGGAGAATGCCATAATGAGCTCATATTAAGAAATTTAAAGTGAACCTGAATTTCAACCAAAGCATTTATGACACAGCTCTCTTTCTCTAAACACCTCGAGAAAGCCCAGCATTTCTGTCAATTACAAAGTGTTAATTTAAAATGTTATTACAGTTAGAAATATAGAATATATGCACAAATTCCTTATTTCTCTTAGATTCCTCAATAGTTTGACAATCTCTATAAATAGATAACAATAACTAGAACTTTCTTTGAAGTTGCAACTGCAAGATTACAGCCCCACAATTAGAGAGCTAAGATTTATTACATATGTGTCATCAGAATGGGTCTGTTTCTTATCATTTCCTGAAATGTGACCTTGAGGTGGGAATGGGGGGTGGGCTGGGGGAAGGGGGAGGGGGGCGAGAGGGGGAGAACAGGGGAATTTGTGGCTATTATGTTGAACTGAATGGTGTTGTAAAATAAAAAAAATAAAATAAAAATGTAACTCCTATATTCTGCATGAAATAGGCTATTGGATGGATGGATAGATAGATAGATAGATAGATAGATAGATAGATAGATAGATAGATAGATAGACAGACAGATAGATAGGTAGATAGATAGCTGTTGAGACAAAGAAGAGCTAGAGCCAACATGAGAAAATAGACAGAAAAGCCAAGATGGGAAAAGAGAGCAACACAAGAGAATAAAGAAAGTAACCATCAGAACACGCTCGTTCCTTTCCTAAAAACCTCAGATAGATAAGGTTCTTGAGCCCCTGCTACTCTGTGGCATTTTCTTTGCTACCATGCGAGCAGCCTGGAAGCTGGTCTTACAGGCTACATTAGACACAGTCTCAGGACTTAACAAAATGATGTCAGGACTGCAATGGTGGGGGCCAACGGGATCTGTCAGGAACAGACATTGGCTCCACTGGCCATAATTCCTTCTAGTACTCCCTGGCCTCCTGCAGGGAAAGACCACAGCCCCAAAAATTACAAATGGGAAAGCTGAGCTTAGAGAAGCTATGGGATCATCCCATAGACTGAATGAGGACAAAGTTGCTTCTGTGAACTCACAATTTATTCTTGATCCCAAGAGTAGGTCTAGCACAGAGTAAGACATTGATAAATACCTGGTGTGTGGGTGAAGGCCAAACAGAATTGTTATAGGTCAAGTGAATAATTGAACTAAATTCTTCTACTATAAAGCTCACCTACTTTGCACTGTACTGTTCAGATATCCCAGCACCCACAGAGAGTCTGTCGTACAGCTTAGATAGATGCCTAAGCTTGTCTGGTTGTTGAAAGATGAAGAGAAGGAAAAAAGAAATAAATGAAAGAACAAACAACTGTACTGTGTACACTTATGCTCCATCTTTTTCTCCTTTATTTAGGAATCATTCCAGAAATATATCAGAACCAAAGAAGAGAGAATCTTTACCCCACACAGACGTTGAAAACAGAGAATTTGCTCCAAAATTTCACACAGCTACTACTCCTACAAAATTCTTGCCCAAGAGGCTGGGAGACCTTGGTCAGGAAAAGCTGGCATCAATGTGTAGCAGAGGAGAGAGGACATCTGATTGAGACCAAAGACTTATTTCTCCCAAGCACAGGTACCCAGGAAGAGCCTCAGTTAGTCATATTAGAGGGGGCTGCTGGGATTGGGAAGTCAACCCTGGCCAGGCATGTGAAGAGAGCCTGGGAGGAAGGCCAGCTCTACAGGGATCGCTTCCAGCATGTCTTCTACTTCAATTGCAGAGAGCTGGCCCAGTACAAACAGCTGAGTCTTGCTGAGCTCATAGCAAAAGACCAGGCTGTGCCTGAGGCTCCCATCAGGCAAATCCTGTCTCACCCTGAAAAGCTGCTCTTCATCCTGGATGGCATAGATGAGCCAGCATGGGTCTTGGAGGAGCAGAATCCTGAGCTCTGTGTGCACTGGAGCCAACAACAGCCAGTGCACACACTGTTAGGTAGTTTGCTGAGGAAATCCATCCTGCCTGGGGCTTCCTTGCTGCTCACAGCTCGGACAACAGTTCTGAAGAAGCTCATTCCTTCCTTGGGGCAGCCACGTTGGGTGGAAGTCCTGGGTTTCTCTGAGTCAGGACGGAAGGAATACTTCAACAAATATTTTGCAAAGCAAAGAGAATCAATTGCAGCTTTTAGCTTCATTGAATCAAACCCAGTGCTCTCAACACTATGTTTTGTGCCCTGGGTGTCCTGGCTGGTCTGCACTTGCCTGAAGCAGCAGATGGAACAGGGGGGAGACCTCTCAATGACTGTTCAGACCACCACAGTTCTCTGCCTGAAATATCTTTCCCAGACTCTCCCATCCAAGTACCAGGGAAATGAGCTCACAGGGCTCTGCTCACTGGCTGCTGAGGGCATCTGCAAAAGAAGGACTCTGTTCAGTGAGAGAGATCTCCAGGAGCAAAGGTTATCTGAAGATGTCATTGCCACTTTCCTGAAGATTGGTATCCTTCAAAAGCAACCCAGTTCTCTGAGCTACAGCTTCTCTCACTTGTGTCTCCAAGAGTTCTTTGCAGCAATGTTCTGCATCTTGGGAGATAATGAGAGACATGGTGATATGGAAAGCTACAGAATTGTGGAAACACTTATAGAAGTATATGGAAGACAAGATCTGTTTGAAGCACCCACCATATGCTTCCTATTTGGACTTTTAAGTGAACAGGGGATTAAAGAGATAAGGAAGATCTTCACAGGCCCCTTGATCCTGCACACACCGTGGAACCTGCTGGGGAAATCCAGTACATTGCTCCAGCATCAGCAGCTATATTCTCTGGGGTTGTTTCATTGTCTGTACGAGATTCAAAATGAGGATCTCTTGACAGAAGTGATGCATGATCTTCTAAAAATGAGGGACAATGCCCTGACAGATATGGCACACCCAGTGTTTCAGACAAATGTGAAGCATTTGATTGTCCAGACAGATGTGGAGCTCATGGTGGTCACTTTCTGCATTAAGTTCTGCCACCATGTGAACAGGCTTCAGCTGGATGGGGGTGGACAGCAAGGACAAATGCTGATGGCCCCCAGGATGGTTCTGTGAGTATCCAGACACAGCCCTTTGTCCAGATTCCCTGTGGATCCCACGAGCACACATGTTCTGAGCACCAGCAATACTCTTAGCTGCATCAAGGACAGCATGATACAGATCATCAGTGACATCTAACTGCTGAATCTGACTTTTTCTATTTGTCTCTGTGTGGTTGACCAGGGGTGGACTTTGAACTTCTGTCTCTCCCTATGCCTCAGTGAAGACCACACACCTTCTCAGATTCAAATCATCTTTACCCTTCAGAAGGTTCAAATGGCCTACAATTACTGATCCTCTCTCTTACCATGCTTTCTCTCTGAAAAACTGCTCATTCAATTCCTGCAGGCCCTATCCCTTATCCCCATGACAATGACCTTGAAGTCTTCCCTGATTACCTCAGAATGCATATGTAAGAGATTCCCTATATTTTCCCTATCCAGATGACTTCCTTGTTTGTATCAATTAAGGCAACATGGCCCTGGTACTCAGCCTGAATGCTTCCTAACTTCCTGCCAATCCTAGAAGCAAGGTAGACTTCCCCTTCCACTGTGCTGCAGTGGTGACTCAGTACCAGGATGTGTCTCTCTCCCCTCTAGATGATGCACACCATCAATATTCATTAAGTGTTCATTTTATGACAGTCCCTATCAATTAATTACAGGAGGAGAACTACAATTACTGCCATGAGGACCTCAAAAGTTGGACATAATGCAGTCAAGTACACAAATTACATAGGGTGTGACTCTTGCATTGGTCAGGCACACACCTGGTATCAGGGAAGGGAATCCTCACTCAAGTGGACCAGAAGGGAGAGATTCTCAGAGGAAGAGATGTTTTTTTCTTTGAGTATTTTGTTTCTACACATTGAAGCTTTTCCCCCAGATAAGCTGAGCTGGGCTTGGCCAGCATACATTTGAAATCCCATCATTTTGGTGGCTAAAACTGGGAGATTACTTGAGTTCTGGCTTTTATACCAATCTGAACAACACAACAAAAGCCCACACAAAAAGTAAATGACTTAAAAGTAGCAGAATAACTGTCAGAGAACAGGAAGGGGATGAAGAGAGGAAAGAAAACAGGTCAGAGAGCACAGATGTGATCAAAGTGTGTTGCACACATATTGGAATTTGTCTCAATGACTCATTATATATGATTAGGATGGACTAATAAAATTCTGCTTCCTGTAGAAGAGTGAGGATCTATCAATTATCAAAAAAAATAGTATCCTCCAGAATTCCATTTCTCAGAGAGGACAGCATTAAGAACTGGTATAGCTGAGCTTGGTCATGCATACCTGTCATCCCAAACTCAGAAAGCTGAGGAAAGGTCAGAAGTCCCAGTCTAGCCTGGGCTACATAGTGTGGTGCTGTCTCAAAATATCATGAGATAAGGATGTAGATCATTAGTAGAAAGATTGTCTTGATTAATTTGGGTTAAGTCAATGTGGTAGTTTGAATGTATTTGGCCCCCTAATCTCATAGGAAGTGTCACTATTAGGAGGTGTGGCCTTGTTGAAAGAAGCATGTCACTGTGGGGGCAGGCTTTGAGGTCTCATATATGTTGAATATACTGCTCAGTGAGACACTACTTCCTGTTTCCTTTTGATAAGATGTAGTCAGTACCATGTCTGCCTACATGCTGCCATGCTTCAGCCATGATGATAATAGACTGAACTGCTGAAGTGTAAGGGAGCCACCACAATTAAATGTTTTCTTTATAAGAGTTGCCATGGTCCTCCTGTCCCTTCACAGCAATAGAAATCTAACCAAGACAGGCAACTTACAGAAGAATTTATTTGGACTTATGGTCTAGAGGGATCAGGGTCCATTGTGACACAGGGAAAGAATGTGACTGGAGAAGCAGATGAAGCTCATTTCTTGAAACAACAAACAGGAAGCAAAAAAAAAAAAGAGTGTAGTGGGAATGGCTCAAGGCTTTGAAATCTTAAAGCCTTCCCCCAATGATATATTTTCTCCCACAGAGTCACACTTCCAAAGCCTCTCCAAAGAGTACCACTAATCAGGGATCAACCATTCAAATGCTCATTATTCTGGGTGAAATCTCACCACATAATAAGCCCAAGACCCTGTGTGTAATTAACAACATGAAAGAAAAAATGTGACATGCTCTTTAACCTTTTTACTATGTACTTTTCTATGGGAAAACTGAGCCACACTATCTCTGTTGTCATATATTCATATTTATTTTCTTAATGAATCAAGACGGTCTTCTCCACTAAAAGTTTACTACAAATACAATACCATTCTAAATAACATTATTATACTCTCTTGTGAGAATACCTTGACCAAATGAACCATTTTTCTGTTCTTAGCCATTTTAGGTTGTTTCTAAATGTCTCTGGTTAAAAATAAGTAATCCTTGAAGCATCTTGATATAGATGTTGCAAATAGAAGTGGTCTGCTGTGGAGCCTCAGATTTCTGAGTATGTACTGAGACAGAGACCAGTTAGGACAAGAAAAACAAGGAACATCAGCCTGCTTGCAAAGGCCAGTGGCCTTAAGAGCCTGGGGACAACCCCATGGGAAAGATAAAGGCTTCAATCACTAGCGAGAAAGAAAAAATGAGGGGAAAAGACAGCAAGACAAGGTAGAGAGACAAGCAGGAGGCCATTGGACACAAGGAAGATAGTTCAGAGGTGGAGACTGGCCAAAGCCAAGGGAAGGGAAAGGACAAGGAAAAGAAATTAAGGCACCAAAGATGGCAAAGTGAGCAACTTCTATGTGTATGGCTCATAATGGCACCTCTGGATTTTTGAATAGTACATTCTGAAGTTCCACTTTAAGTCAGTGTGAATATTAGCCATGCATCAAAACTATCATCCTTTGAGGGATGGATGAGTGGTTCCAAGATTAAGAATACTTGCTCTTCTTGTAGAGGATGTGAATCCATTCCCAGGACCCATATCAGATGACTCACAACCAACTTTAATTACAGTGTCAGAGGATCTGAGGCCCTGCTTCTACCCACTCCAGGCTTATGCATGCACACATACAAGCAGGCATAAAATATACACATAAAGTAAAAAATAATAAAGCTTTAAAAAATACCATCCTTGCCGGGCTGTGATGGCGCATGCCTTTAATCCCAGCACTCGGGAGGCAGAGCCAGGCAGATTTCTGTGAGTTCAAGGCCAGCCTGGGCTACCAAGTGAGTTCCAGGAAAGGCGCAAAGCTACACAGAGAAACCCTGTCTCAAAAAAATGAAAACAAACAAAAAATACCATCCTTTAAAATTAAGTATTTGGTTACCTTGACATTTCTTTGGTTTTGTACAATTAGAATAAAATGTCTATAGTTTTTGTTCTCAAAGTTGGCCGCTTTTAATCTGTGTTTTTGGTGTTGTGGTTTTTTGACTTTGACATTTTGTTTTGTTTGGAGTGTTTGGGATAGAACATTGCACAGGCCAGGTGTATAGCTCTTCAGGTTTGTAGCTTAGGCTGGCCTAGAACTCACTATTTTTCTGCTTTTGTATACTTGGTTGCTGGCATTACAGGAATTGCACTACCACTCTGAGCTGATCCTCCCTCTCCCTTATTTCCCCTTCTCTGTGCTCTTCTATCCTTGGAAGGATATAGGGACCACATGAACAAACACATCTATAGTTTTTATGATCATGCTCAATATCTCATCACAGAGTCATTCTCAACCACCTCTGCTGAGCTCTCTTTCCACTTCTCCTTTCCAATTTTCCTCCATGAGTCTCTAGAATACTGTTCCAAAGGAAAGTGAGTACATTCACATCAAAAGGAAGAAGGCTGTCTGAGTTACCAAGGTCCTTCTTTGTACCAGGGCCTGTGGTAAGCACTAGATTAAAAAGAAAACATGCAAGTCACCTGTTCACACCCTATGGGACACCTAGACTAGTCAGAAAAAGACACAAAAAATGAGAACACAAATTACTATGATAAGGATGTAGATGAGGAACCACCCAGAGGAGAGGATCCAGATGTTGGAGCAAAGGAGCATGTAGAAGCTGGTGAATCCTGGGGTTAGCATACTGAGGCCTGGTGCTAAGGCAGATAGAAACCTAATCTGCTGTGTGAGGATGTGCACCTCAGACCATGGACACACAAGTTACATTCCTCATTACCCCCCCTTTTCTTTCTCCTTCAGGTCCAGGTGGATCCCTATCACAGATACCAGTTGGCAGATTCTCTTCTCTACTCTTGAGATCACAGGAAACCTGGAGGAGCTGGACCTAAGTGGAAATCCAATGAGCTACTTTGCACTGTGCAGTCTTTGTAGGACCCTGAGTTGCCCTGGATGTCATCTAAAGACATTGTGGTGAGTCTGGCCTTGATTCTCCCTTGAAGCAGGGATGGATAGACTGGAGACTAAATGCAAAACCTGAGTCTAGGGTGAGGACTGGCATTCATCAAATATTCACTAAACTGTTTTGACCACACCTGTGACAGATACCAGATTTGCTATGATAAATGGGATTCTGTTCTTTGTGATCATGAAAGACTGACACTCATCAAGGAATCCCACTACCAACAGGCCTATGAGGTCTCCAGTGGAGCAAAATTCCTCAGAAAGTGGCTCAGAGAGCTGAAGAACACAGAGACAAAGGAAGCCCAAAGGGAGAAAGCTGCAAGCTCAGGCAATGCCCTCTTGCCCTATTTTCTCGTGCCCTCTGACCTCATATCCAGCCTTCTACTCTGTTTTTATGGACTCCATCATTATTATGATTTTATGTAATGAGTCAGATGCCCTATTCTCTGGTGAATTTCATATCAGATGGCTCTTGAAATATAAGTTAGCTGTCCTGGGCCTCATGAAGCTCTGCAATGTGCAGTCACAGCAAAGCAGTATTCTCCAGCCTATACTCCATTGTTTTTGTAGCTCAGCTGTGGGTAGCATGGAATTATACCCCCAGATTAGAAAATGCACTCCAGAGAGCTAAGCAGTGCTAGCATAGCACATCAGGGCTCACAAAAAAAGACCTGAGGTAAGTTCTCAAGAGCAGTTGGCCCTGGAGAAGCTAATGGTGAGCATCTCCCATGCAGGCTTATCAACTGCAGCCTTACATCCAGACACTGTTTGAACCTGGCCTCAGTGCTCAAGGCCAGTTCCAGCCTGACTGAGCTAGACCTGCAGCTGAATGACCTGGGTGACCATGGTGTGAGGCTGCTGTGTGAGGGGCTCAGGAATCCTAACTGCAACCTCAGAATCCTACGGTAAGTAATAACCTGAGATTCCCTCTGGGCAGAAGGCAAGGGAAAGACATGGGTGTTACAGAACATGGGACACAGAAAAGAAAGGGGACAGACAATGCATCATTAGCCTGGCCAGCTGTGCCATTTACACTCTATGACTTGGGTAAGCTGCTCTCTTCTCTAACCCTCTGTTTCCTCATCTACCAAATAGAGTGTCATACCCACCTTGTGGATTACAATGACACAAAATATACATATTTAAAAACAAAGATAAATCCGGTAGGTAGCTGGGCACAGTGAAATCATAGGTTTTAGCAAGGCTGTATATCCTGAAAGACTCCCAGGTTTGCCTTACACCAGGACAGTACTTCAATCATTTATTCATTCATGAATCCATTTCAGGCCTTATATACATAAGCATTGATCCAGGCCCTAGGGATACAATCACAAATACACATGGCTCTGTCCCCCTGAAGCTGTGTGGAAAGAAACAGACATAGATCACCCAACAGCCTCTGTGACAAGCTCTACTGAATGATGTGGAGGCAACAGTATTTTGAGAATGTCATGCTGTGAAAGATGCTACTTTATTAAATGGCTTAGGAGGGTTTTCTGAGGCCTGAAGGAGATATAGGACTTGGTTGGGCCAAGCTGAGACCAGGGCCCAGACAAAGGAGGAGTTGGGGGAAACTCTGGAACAGAAAGAGGTTGAACACCTGAAGGGCCATAGATTTCACTACAGGAGCCAGATGTTGTCCTCTTAGTGCCTGAAATGGTGCCATTACCTTTGCACTAGAGTTTCATACAATCTTGGAAGCCTCCAAACTACAGCTCTGGAGACTGCTGTCCTCCACTAAGCCTCTTCACACTGTCTCTGAGCTTCTCCCTCTCCTGTCCTGTAGCTAAAGTTTTCCTGGTCCTGCCTGGCTCCCACAGTCCCAAATAAACACACACAGGCTTATATTATTTTTAAACCATGCCCATGGCAGACCTCTTACCAGCTAGCTCTTCTATTCCAAATCACCCCTTAACTATCAATCTATGTATTGCCACATGTTCCATGGCTTTACCTGTTTCCCATTGCATATTGCTCCTTGGGCAGCTTGCTGGCATCTCTCTCGTCCACTTCCTGTCTTTCTCTTTGAATTCCCCACCTGCCTTTAAGCTGCCTTGCCATAGGCCAAATGGCTTTATTTATTGACCAATCAGAACAACATATTTTCATAGCATACAGAAAGACATTCCCATCATTTCCCCTTTTTTTTCTATTCAAATGGAAGGTTTTAATATTAACATAGTAAAATTACATATAATAGAACAGTTATCTAGCAAGAATTACAGTTACAATATCTATTCTATTTGTATTTGGCAAAATTAAGGAAGATATTCTATCTTATATTTGTGAATCTAAGGTTTTATATATCTACCTTATCTCTTATCATAACCAAGGAAAACTATAATTATAACTATCTAGTCTTCAACTACATCAAAGACCTCAGAAGGATATAATATTACCTAAGTAAACAGGAAGAGCATTGTAAGCAACTTCCAAAAATCTAGAATGACAGAGACAGCTGGCTGCCTGGACAGTTATCCAAAGTTCCTCTGCAATGCTGGGACATCTATCTTCAGCCCATAGACTTAGTCTATCATTCACTTTTCTCTGTGTCCTGCAAAATGCCTGGCAGTCTCCTCTGTGAAGCAGGAACCTGAAGGACCATATCGCCTTGCAAAGTTTAGTGGTCACTTTCCTATGGGTTCTGCATGTCCAGTTGATACAACATTTTATCAAACAGTCCAGGCAAAAACAGTCCATATGGAGTGTCTTTGATGCCCATCTTTCTCTTTGAAATAAATCAGCGCTGCCAGAAGCAGACTTGTCTCACTGTTCAGAAAGTCTGAGTTTTAAAAACATTTTAAATGTCATATTCTGTAGGTCTTTGAAGTGTTTAAAGATTGCCTACCTTATTGAAATATATCTATGTATACCTAGAAAACTTAACTAACATGACAATTAGTTTGATTATCATGGATGACTAATTATTAATCTGTATTTCTCAACTATACACTACAATTTCAAATGAGTTGCACAAACAAAATACTTTAAACAAGAGTAGAAATACACATACAGTAAAACAAAATTAACTTTAAATTTGTATCAATAAACTAAAATCCATAGCAATGTAAAACATTTCAAACAAGTTGTTGCTCTTTAAAAGTAGGTTCAATAATCTACCCTTTCATCCTATCATATCTATATCCTATATTTCTATATCATATCTCCCTTTCTTGTTTTAGAAAGAGATTATGACCAATAACAATTTATAACCAATAATCTAAACAAAGACAGACATCCATAATCCATTTTTTGGGGATGTGGGTGTAGTGTTCTTGGCTACTTCCTGCTGATAGGGAGCACTGGTATTCTTATGGGGATCCTGAGAAAATTAAGAATTATGGTCAAGTCCTGGCTGGAGTAATCTGTGAGGCTGCATTGTTTGAGCTAGTTGTCTTGAAGCAATTTTTGGATGTTGGATCATCTGGGCCTCTCAGGGGGTCTTGACTGGTCAAACCATATTATTCTGGAAGCAATCCACATGTTCTCATCCTCTGTGGAAACAAAAGCAGAATCTCTTTTCCAAAGCAACATATCCCTAAATAAATTTTGAAGTCAAGATACCTTTAAAATATACATACTGATTTAACTCAGCAGCTTTTTACAATCAAATGTCTCTCTGCACTTAAAATTCCTAAAGACAACACAATCTGGATTCTCTTTAAAATACCAATCTTTATATGGCTTATTTTTATATTACTTTTACTGTCTTTAAAGACTTTATTTTTTTAAAACTATTTCTTTATATAACTGTCTATATTCCTTTTCCTCTCTCTTCCAAGCCTATGTACATTTTTACACATACCTTAAACCATTTAGAGGTTTATTTCATCTGAATCTGTTTTATTGTGAATCTATTGCTCTAAACTGCAGCATTACTAGGACTGAAATGGCATCTTTGGTTTCTGGCTCTGCCAACCTCAGCTTCCTAACATGGCAGAATTATGTTTACAGTCAGCTCTGGGAACCAATGCTCATCTCAGACTCTGGGAAGCAGTGGGTCTGTGCTTCCATCCAGCAGCATATAACCCAGAAACCTCTTTTTTTTAGTAGCAAAAGCTGTATCCACCACGTACCATGTTGCATGGCTTGCAGAAACCTCTGTGTAACTTGCGCTCAAGCTCGAATACTTTGGTGTCCAGCTACCTACATATGATATAGAAATATAGAATATAGATATGATAGGATGAAAGGGTAGATTATTGAACCTACTTTTAAAGAGCAACAACTTGTTTGAAATGTTTTACATTGCTATGGATTTTAGTTTATTGATACAAATTTAAAGTTAATTTTGTTATACTGTATGTGTATTTCTACTCTTGTTTGAAGTATTTTGTTCGTGCAACTCATTTGAAATTGTAGTGTATAGTTGAGAAATACAGATTAATAATTAGTCATCCATGATAATCAAACTAATAGTCATGTTAGTTAAGTTTTCTAGGTATACATAGATATATTTCAATAAGGTAGGCAATCTTTAAACACTTCAAAGACGTACAGAATATGACATTTAAAATGTTTTTAAAACTCAGACATTCTGAACAGTGAGACAAGTCTGCTTCTGGCAGCGCTGATTTATTTCAAAGAGAAAGATGGGCATCAAAGACACTCCATATGGACTGTTCTTGCCTGGACTGTTTGATAAAATGTTGTATCAACTGGACATGCAGGACCCATAGGAAAGTGACCACTAAACTTTGCAAGGTGATATGGTGTAGATGTAACCAACCGTCTTATTAAATAAGAAACACAGAAACAATGTAAAAGAGAAAGCCGAGAGGTCAGAGCTCAGAGCTAAAATCTCA